CATCTCACTGAGCGGCGAATGCTTACGAACGTTGCCATTTTCTGACGAATGTTTTGCAAAAATCAGGGTTCGCCTCTGCGACAATTAACGACTTTTAGCGATGTTTAGCGACAATTAGCAACATTTGAGCAAATGTTTGCGAAAGGCAGTTAGTAACAATTGGCGACTGTATTGGCAAATGTTAGCAACAGTTTTTGCAAACATTAGCAACTATTTGCCAATCCTTTGCCACTATTTGTGAATGTTGGGGACCTTTTGCTAACTCCTGGTACTCAATGGGTCGATTCATATAGGAACCATATGGTAACGTTGTCGCTAGCATTGGCAAATCAAAAAGAACTTTAGCGACACCGCCTTACAACCGTTTGCAAAGGCTTACAACTGTTTTACAAACACTTACGACTGTTTTGCAAACGCTTGCAAATGTTTGCAGAAAAATAAATTCGCAAAGAAAAACTGTTTACGACAATGAAAAGTGTTTGCGAACTTTCTTGCAACCTTTTACGAATCTTTTGCAACCTTTTATGAACCCTGGCGAAACCTCAAATTCGCTACGTTCGCAAGCATTCGCTGCTCAGTAAGATATCCCCTTTACTACGAAAGGATACAAGTCAATGCCCTTTTCGCTCTCTGCAGATATGTTAAAATTTGGGTTAAGGACCTATTATTGTTACGGCAGATGGTGTACACCAGTATAAACCTACCCTGTTATAGTTTAAAGCTCTTTGATATAGCAAGAAACGACAATCTGAACTGATACAAGTACAATCAAGTTGTATTACAACTTTAATTCACAATTCAAATCAAACTAAAAATGACAAAACCTCTGGATCCGTTCTGGAAAATCGTTCTGAAGCACGGTTACACGGTTTAGGGTGAAACAAATCAAGAAACCCAAATGGTGCTTCCATTATTGAAATTAGAACACAACACAAGCATCTAGGACTGAAAGATTTAATCAGAGAAAACTTGGTCAAGAGGTACACTCATTTACAGACGTGCACCAACATTCATTCAAAATTAGGTCATATTATTCTTCAAAAAGTCAACAGTTTTTTTTTCACCCTGTCATCGATTGCTTAATAGACCTGATCAAGCCAGCAGACATTTGAACTAGATACTATCAAAGAGAGGTAAAGAGGGGGAAAAAGTTTGAATCGTGTTTGATCATAAAAGCTAGGAACGTTTTTTGACCGATAAGGCTAGTACACTCAAATCAAGGGCATGCAAATGTAGGGGAAAGGGGCTAATTCAATGAAAAAAGTAGAACGCATAAATCAAGCCATTGCTCCAGATTTTATGTATCTCCTAGATACGGAATTAGGCTTGTAATCGCAAAGTCAATGAGATAATCATTCCCTGGCCAAATATTTACCCAAAGTGTGCAGCCAAAGAATGACTGATAACCCCCAAGTAAAGGGAGTGACAGAGAAGTAAAGTGCGTAGTCAAATACAGCATAAAAAAGGTCTTGTTTGTTTGAGAGGTATGCACTAATTCATACTTTTTAATGTTGCTCTTGTTGATCAGCACTGTTTTGGATGGAAGGGTCTTATTTCTGGTATGCAAGGGGGCCTGATTGGTCCATATAGGAAGGCAAGCTTGCTCACTCAAACATATCCAATAAACCAACATAGAACTCATTCAATTAAGCTTAAACAAATCTCTTCAATTAAACAAACATAATTGCTCAAATTACATCTTTCCATTTGTTCTCCAATGGACAATCATACCAGTGCCATAGTCTACTTAAAGATACACAGTACCGCAACTTGGGAGTAAAAATAAGTCTATCTATCAATTATAAAAATTACAATTAAAATAGGCTTGTGTGCATGCCTGTAAATCCAATAATAAAGCATACCTGCCGATACAAGCACTTCATATCATTTTTATCCAGGTCCCACTCGACAAACAACTCCCAAAGTACTCCAACTCCGACAGGGTCTGCTTGCGGTAGACTAGGGCCAAAACAACGTAAACCCCAAGTGTAATTACTGCACGATGACTATGAACACGGTAGCCAAGTGCGACCTAAGCAGAGAAAAAAAACTACAAATACCTAACAATACACACAAAAACGTATGCAAACGAGCGAGCACCACTCTGTGTGGGTGTGTGATGTCATGGCTCAACTGACCAATAGGAAGACGGCTGTCTGTGATTGGCTGCAGCCTCCTGATTGGCAGGCTTGACACATAACATGATTTCTTTCAGTATTTAGTTGACCTCTTTTCCAATGTTGAGTACGGCTATAAATATGCTGCCATCATCAGCTTTGATTATAATTTGCGAGGATATCTTTTTGTCACGCTGATTTTAATTACCCGAAAGGGAAGAACATCTTCGATTGCATGTTAGTTTTCGACTCGTATAACTATCAGTCACATTTGCGGTTAATCTTTAGGAATCTTCTGCAATCTTCGCTCGGAAGGCCGGATTTTCGACGCGGCAACAAGTAAGTATGCTCAGATTTCGCGTTCTCTAATACACACGTATATGTACGTCGAATATTTTCACACATAAGCGTTCCGAAAATCGCAAATTTTGTTTACGTCTGGGATATCACAATTTACATCTATACTCGAAAGACAGAATAATCAGCCTCCTCATCAAATGCGTTCAACTTTTTTGCTTTTGATGTATTACGTTTGTCATAAATACTCTTGTATAAAGACTCATAAAATTTAACGACGTACATTTATCGCATTGCTGGGAATTTATTGCAACATGCTATTCATATTTATATTATATATTCTTATTCACCGTCAAATGAATTTCTGTATTTTCATTATGTTTATTATAAACACATTGAAATGTTTTCCTGTATACTAAAATATATCAATCACATTTTAGTAAATAAATGTCATATCACAAGTGTACACTTCGTATTTTTCAATGATTATTTTTCAATGATTATTTCCCAATTCACTATAAGATGTCAAAAGGAATAAATCAGTCTCATTTAAGATATTTCTACAGATTTACTTCTAATGTTTTGAATAAAGTAATATATAATTTGGAAAACATTTAGTAGGCAAATATATGTATGAAATAATGCACTTGCACCTTTGTTAAATGTATACTTTACATTAGATACTTAAGATATTTCAGAAATGCTATGTAATTCTGATTTTAAAGTAAATTTCTGTATTAAGTATATAGCTGTTTTCATAGGACAGTACGGAAATGATCAATTACTGCAATAATCATGTACATGTAATATGACAACACAGCTTTATTTCCTTCAAAGGATTATGTATTATATCAAGCAGGCTTTAAATCTAATCTAGTATTGGCATGGAATCTAAAATTAAATCCTATCTACAAAAATCACTTTAAGTTAGAATAATTATAAAGTACTTTCCATATATCCTTTGTTTGTTCTTCTATTGTAAGTACATTAAAGAAATTTCCTATGTCATAAACTTATACCTAAGCTGCAGTTTTTAATTTCTTTAAATTTTAATTTACTTCTAAGAGAATTACATTTCATTATTAATTTTTAAAAATGTATTCCAATAGATCATCATAGTCATGATGTATTACTCATTAATAAATTTTACTTTCCCCATAATTTATCTTTAATCAGATTGTGTTTCAAAGATTAACATTTTTTGCCAGTGTACATATTCACAATGTATATCATGAATTTGATTAAGCATTGGCTAAACTTTATACTCTGCACTAATTAATAGTTTCATGAAACATAACTACACAATAATTTGGGTCTTTTGCTGAAAGAATACTTTGATATTTATAAGCTTTTACTTTACCAACATGAAAGCAGCTGTATCAAGAAATAAGAAGCTACATATATGCAAGTAAAATAATCAATGATGAATTATATTGACTGAAATGAGGATTAATGGAATCATAAAGCTTAATTTTAAGAAGCAAGTAAAATCAACAGTATAGACAGAGAGATGATCATTGAGATAAATTTCTACTGTTTTCATCAAATTTGCTTCTTCTACAACTGTATGCTGTCAAATAAGTCATAAATTCTAATAATCACAAGGAAATTTGACTAACCAAAGTAGGGAATATGTCTTGATTGTAGAGTTTAACAATTAATTTTTCCATTTTTTTTTTAAAAACATTCTGTATCTTTCTCAACTCTTGACTGCAATTTGTGCAAGAAAAGGTAATAAATTGTTCTCTCCCTGTTGGACATACTTCTATGGGTATGAGGGGATGAAGGAATGGATAGGAGGAGGGGGGGGGGGGCAGAGTGATAAGCATAAGGTGAGAAGAAAATGGTGGATTGTTGTACTATGATGGTAAGGCTCAAGAGAGTATTATGGGTGACGATAGAGACGGATTCCGCTGGGACTTAAACGAGGAAGGTCATTTCTTTTTTGTCAGCGTGCATACATACATGCATGCCTTCCCATCTCAACACTCCCGGCATGCTCATTTTTTTTTTCTCCCCCCACAAACCAACCTCAAGCCTTTACCCTTTACTGATCCTTCCTCCCCCTTTGCCAAAAAAGAAAGAGAGAAGAAGAAGGGAAAAAATGCGGCAGAGAGGATGAAGACATAAATTCTCCCCTCTGTACCTGGCTGTGGCTTAGGGCTAGGTAACGTGACAAGCTAACGCCCCAAGGGCTCCGGGTAGGATCAGCAAGGTATTACACACCCCCTGACAACACTTGTTCCCCGCTCTTCGCTCTCCATCGCTTCTCAAAGTCTCTTTCACGGGGCCGCTCGCTCAGCTTGCTCGGCTAGTGAGCCGCGATTCCCAGCCCACAATCAACTCCCCGGTCATAAAACAGAGACACAAGCAAGCCCTATCATAGACGCACGTTCTCTCACTCCCTTACTCACCCATACCCATACTAGCGGCTCTCTCTCTTTCCCTCTTTCTCTCTCCCTCACTCCCGGTCTCCAAACATAGGAGTACACATATACACTGTATATACATACTACTATCGTGGACCGTGATACTACACATGTGATCGTCCGTGCTCATAATATAGTGCACCAGGAGTGACCTATTTTGCCTCAGTCCTGCCTTGGCTGTCGTTGGAGTAACTCACAACTTTGTTTTCTCCCGCTCTCGCTCTTGTTTCAAATCCAAGTGTTTCAGAGATGTGATGTTTCGAGCCATGTCCATGCAAACTTACAGGATGTTCCTCTTTTTCTATTAGCGTGTGTACTTGAGCAAACTTTTTGGATATCAAGCAGAACTTTTTCAGTGTTTGTTTTTTCATTCTATTGTGGATCTGTGTGCAGATATCATTAATTATTTTGTCAGGTACAGTATATTTAAATAATCTTTCCTAAGTTTCATTATTGATATTGCTTAATAAAAATTTGTTTACTTCATGAACTTGATCATGATCTTGTAACATTATTTAAAAAATACTTTCTTTACCCAAACATATTTTTTTTATTACTGCTATTCATTTTTTTATTAACAAAATCTTGTATTTGTCTTTCTTTTTTTTTGTACAGATTTAACTTTTGCATTGAAGTAGCGAACAGAAGTGGAAGGCCTCCGATTTCTGCCTTTTCTCCATATTTGAGAGTCCAGCAAAAGCTTCATCATGATTGTGATTGCGTCTGCTGTGGGCACTGCCCTGTGTGCAGTCTATTACCTCAAAGAACATTACGACTATAAAGTGCGTAAACTACCGCCCGGACCGACGTCGATACCTTTCATCGGTGATGTCCTGAGCATTAATCCAAAGTCACCACATCTCTCCCTTATTGAGCTGGCAAAGACCTACGGGGATATCTTCAGCATCAAGCTAGGTTCCGAGCGTGTCGTGGTCCTCAATAACGCAGAACTGATAAAGTCAGCATACAGAGGCGTTGATATCTCGCACAGACCGGATCTCTTTTGCATGGACGTGTTGGCCGGCGGGAAGGGATTCCTCACGTGTAAGGACGAAATCCAAAGACAGATGCACATGAAGATATGCCGCCAGGCCATGCGCGTTGTCAACAACGCGGACATGGGAGAAAAGATTCTCCAGGAAGCAAACAATCTCGTGAACCATTTCGAGGCCCAGAATGAGAAGCCCTTCGATCCCCAGTGCGATCTCCACATAGCCTCACTCAATATTCTCTGTAACTTTGTCTTTGGTGAGCGCTACGAGCACGACCATCCCGAAATGAGGGAGATTCTGGACTTTTCAGCGGAGATCTCAAAGCTGCTTTCGCCGATGCATCCTGTGAACGCTATGCCGTGGTTGAGGCACTTTCCAAACAAATGGTTCGCGAGCCTCTTCAAGGCCAAGAACCAAAGGGACAGAATTCTCATGAAGAAGTACGTGGAGCATGTGGTGACATACAAAGCAGGAAGGGTTAGGGACATGCTGGATGGACTTCTCGCCGAGACGACAGAAGCCGTCGCAGAAAATAACAAGCAGGCTGTTGCTCTTCTCACACCTGAGCACATTATCATCAACATGTGGCTTATCTTCTTTGCTGGTAAGTACTCAAAATCATCTCTTCTTTTGATTTTTTGTTAAAAATTCATAGAAAACTCATTTTTATCAGGAATACCACCGAGTCTGACAAATAAAATTGAAAGAACATTCGTAACTTTTGTAGGTGTAAAAATATTCTATAAAGTTCATACGAGCGCAGTACAGACAGTGTATTCAAATTCGATTTGAATACAATACAACAATGTTTAGATGAGAAATACTATATGACAACAAATAAATACATATGTTGTGGAATGTTTACGTTGGAATGAATCCAAAAGAAACCACAAATAAACGATATCTTACTACGAAAACAGACAGAGACATATGGACAATGACCAAACTTACACCATATAAACGCCTGCTGTTCCAAACCACAAAGCAGTGACTGTGCTAGCTAGCTAAGTAACTTCACCAAAAGTGATCCAATAACACAGATATTATGAAGCATACACAAAGAGTTTACGGTCTTCGTCATCACAACAAATGTCATGATAACTGGGAGCTGCATGGGCCCCCGTCCACATGGCATGCATAGTAACTCAATGTTTACATGACACAATTAAGCGTTAACATTTCGGTCACCGAATAATGCAGTTTTTTTTTTATCAGGGACACCGGTACCTTGACTCATAGTGAACTGAACTGAGGGAGGGCAAACAAGAGCAATTGCTCTGTCAAAGAGCGTCCTACTTTATTACAATACAGTCAGAGAATGAGAGAGAGAGAACGATAGAGAGAGAGAGAGAGAGAGAGAGAGAATTGGAATGAATAACATTCATTTCTGTATTGAATCATTCTATTACTAAAACATACTTTTGTTCACTTCTGGTTTCTGAGTACCTGGTAGCCTCATTTTGAGTTATGGGAGTGAAAATAAAGATTGTGTTGTTGATGTTGAAGGCACAAGATGAGTATCTAAGCATGAAAAATGGAGAACTAAATCTTAATCAAAAGGAACAAATGATTAAGAGATAAGTCATTTCTGTAAAGGAATCATTTTGACACTTTAAAGGAAGATGTTTATGTAGCCAATGCAACTGCACTGTGTCTGTGATGCATGGCACAATTCAGTGGTGTATGCCATTACCACTACTTTTTTAGAAAGCAAGAAGATTCAAGATAGCGCAATGAATGATACATTACAATCGTCATCATCCTTTAATCCTATACAGTCCTCGCTTGGGATATGAACTACATTTATTTAATAGAGCAAACACACCGTTTCTAGAATTTCACGAATCAAATGCTTTCCAGGTTAAGTCAACATCAGCGGGACTCGTTCCCCGGCGGAAACGTTACACACACGCTTCACACAATACATGTATTTGTCGGCAAATTGTGAATAGCGGAAAGCGTTTACTAACAATATCAAAACACAAAGTTAGTCTGCGTCAGCCTTTACTGTTTTTTTCTCCGCAACTTGTTTCCCCCGCGGTCGGGGAAGCATACAGTAAAGGTAGCCCGAATCAACAACATTTTCTCCTCTTTCAATTTGTGTGTGTGTGATCCTGCAAGGTCAGTCGTCCTAGCAAGTTGGCAAACTTTGCGAAGGTAGCGATAAAGCCGGAATATAATGGCGAGTTTTGAGGTCTAAGTTTATCGGCAAATATTCACGGGAGAGTTTGGTGAAAGCCAGCACACCTGTAAGCTCATGAATTCCTTTTTAAATACTTCCGTCTGGTCTAATCCAGGTACACACACTCACACACGTGTTCGCTTTCAATCTGACCTCGTGCCCAAAAATCTCACCAAATTCCCTCACTTGCCAATCTTTTATCATCTACGTGGCAAAACGAAGAAGAAAAAAAAATGGAATCCTTGCTGATCGACATAGGGTCTAGCTCTATCCATGAAGAGTTTGGTGCAGGGCGATATCTGCATTATATGAAATAATAATAATTTTTGTAGATCAGTAAAATATTTGCTAATGTAATATCTGTGAAAATAGTGAACAGTGGAATGGGAAACAATAGGCATTATAAAAAAGCAAGGACAACTTTGACCTTGATTTATATTTGAAAACTGGCATTTCTTATCTCAATTTTTTTTAAATTCATAACTCAATTGTCATTTGTGATTGATCAATTTTATTTTATTTTGAATTAAAACATGCCAGAGAATGTGGAGAGCTTTGAAGAAGAAAAATTAAATGTTCATGTACATAATCTACAGACATACACAAGAGATAGAAATATTATTCTGTCTCTAAATGAAGGTTGCCTTTTTGGGGGTTTATATTCAAGTTAAATGTCAAAATTGAAAAGAATTGATTGGTTGCTTACTTACAAGCACACGCAAGCTTCCTTTAAAAGCAGTCGGGTAAAATTATATTTTGTTTTTTTCTCTCCATTCACAGGATCCGACACAGTAACAAATACACTTCAATGGAGCCTTCTCTACATGGCCGTGTTCCCCAAGAAACAAGCCAAGGCCCAGGAAGAACTAGAGAGAATCATCGGACAATCAAAACGTCTCTCACTTGAACACAAATCTCAGCTTCCATACCTCCGTAAGTTACACTCAACAATCATCCTCCGTTGATAGCCAGAGGGGCCATACATGTCATTATATTTACAAGTACATGTGATACCACCGTTCTGGCTGTCAACAATTTAAGAAACATTTCCAGGAAATGCTGAATGTGCCTCCCATCATTGTGCCTGACACAATGACAAAACTGTTGGAAATTTAAATACTTCACCGCTTGCGTCTCTCATTAGACAAGTAGACTTAATCTGTCTACATTCCTGTCATTATGTTCGATAACAAGACAATTGCATTTCATCTATAAAAAAATATGAATACCAGCAATTCAGAATTCAGAAGAAATTTCTTTTTCAGCTGAACTTGCAAAGGCCAAATTTATTCAGATTTTCACTTTTTCAGTCAGGTAAATCAGGCAGTTTAGACTATTAAAGAACATATGACAAAGTGGATGGTGGAAGGTCGCTCTTGTTTCCACTTTATTCAGCAATAAATTCTTTTGTTGATTACTTCAATTTTTAGTAGCAATTTTTATTAAAAATACTTCTGTATGTATTAAAGGCATTTAATGGGATATAAAATTGTAAGGTATGATTACTACGTAATAACGATGGGCTGACTGAAGTGTTACAAAAGAATCACCATTATCATAATACAGATGATATCACTCTCCATAGATAACAACGAGTATAGACAAAAGCGCTAGAAAAGTATTGATGTACATTGATTTCGACACTCGGTGGGAATCTGTAGGAGAACGTTTTTTGGCCCCCTTTTTTTTTGGTGGTAAATCTGCGGGATTTGGAGACCTAATTCTTGCAGTTCTTCCTGTCTCCTCTTCCTAATGCTGGCTTGAATCAGGGATGACCTCTCTACAAGCAATCAGTTCCCCGAAGAACTACTCCGCCTAGACTAGCCCAGATCTCAATGTTTAGAGAACTTTCAGGATGTCAACAAGCATTTTGGGGACGAGGCTTGAAATTGCTTTGATTTCCAGTACTGTTTCAGGATGGAAGACAATCAGTAAGGTCCCATCCATCCATTCCTCTCCTCTTGCTGAATAAAAAGGCAATGGACAGCCCCTGCAATCCCACCATTTCACGACAAAGAGACACATAATAAACTACAAGTAAAACCTATCACCCCCCCCCCCCTCCCCCTCTCCCAAAAGCCCTTTTCAAAGAAATGAACCATACAATGTATATTGCTTCTCACTAATATTTAGGAAATTATAGGGGGGATATTCTCACAGCTTTCTTAGGGATCATCAGAATTGTTTTTATTTTTTAAATCAGACCTTTCCTCTTCCAAATGATAAATGGAATTTAATATACTGAATACAGGATATACAGAAATATTCATAAGGTTGTGAAGGTCACATATATATGTTGCTGCTATAAATACCCTCAAATGATGCATTTCAAACTTTCATAAGCTTAGTCAAAGATCTGCACCCAGTACTCTGGTGCCACTTTCTCTTCCCAGCTAAAAGCAAACGCAGAAGGAGTAGAATAGGGAACAGAATAGAGACTCAAGCTCAATCTCCTTGACTTTAATAACAGGAAGTGCGGTAGTTCAAGGGGAAATCGTCCAAAAGCTCAAAATGAATAGTTTAATGAGAGTATGAGAAATAAGCATTTTATTTTGGTTCTTTCATCAATCTCCAGTATTTTGTAAGAACCAATTATAGTATGAGTGGGTAGTGTACACAACCTACAGTAGCTCTTGCTTGATTGAACTGCATAATGATAGATATAGAATCGAGGGTATGGTATATTTGTCTTGTTTTTGCAGACAGAGAGAAGAGACACACAAAAAATCCTCCTTGCTCTAGCGTCAGCTAAGCAAGTGATATGGATTGTATCAATTGATGATCACAAGCTGAAGCACAATGATCGATCTCATCTTGTTTTCTGTGATCAGCTCCCGCAACTGTGCTCAATACAATAGCAGAAGTCACTGAACTCTGTTGGGTGACTGAGCAGCTCGGCCACAAGGTGGCGCTCTTCAACTTCATGCATATTGCATTATGACTACATTTCCTTTTACTTACACTTGTTGTCAAACATCCTTTCACTTTTTGCCAAACATATTAACTTTCTAAGGGAGCAACTGCAATCTTCAATTATCTGAATTCTTGCATCATATGCTAATATTTTTGATCAGGTAACTTATTGCACCATATGCTAGGATATCTTATCAGTTAACTTCTTGCATCATACGCTAATATTTCTTATCAGGTAACTACTACAATTTAGCTTCGACTGTTTCTTTAAATTATTTTCTTGTTTTTATTTCCCCGTGTACAGAGGCAGTCATTAATGAAGTGTTGAGGTACAGTTCTCTCACCATTCTGGGTGTGCCACACGCAGCAGCAAGAGACACAGAGATCAATGGATATTTCATCCCAAAAGGTACGAGTCTTATTACTTCATCATTTCAATCTTGGTTATTTACAATGTAGTACAGTGAAATGACCATGTCTACTCAGGAAAGGCCAAACAGTGAAGCTAATTTAGGTACTCTCTTTCTCTTCAATGAAAAAAAGATTTTCATGGAATAATGTAAATATTATTTTTTAATGAAATAAAAGAATATGTGCAAAATTCTTTCAAGAGAATTTGAATAATTAAAAAGTAGGATAGAATATTAAAGACTGATGGTGTGAAGCAAGGGATACAGTACTTCCTTGAGACTAAAACCTTAAAAATTATTGTTTCCCTCTTACAGGAACATCTGTAATGGCAAACTTCTGGTCAGTACACCACAACGAGGACGCTTGGGACCAACCTGAAGAGTTCCTCCCAGAGCGCTTCCTCAACGACCAGGGCAACCTGAAGGAACCTTCCCAGCTGCCGCACTTCATGCCCTTCTCGGTGGGTAAGAGGCGCTGCTTAGGGGCAAATGTGGCCAAGGCTGAACTCTTCCTCATGCTGGGTCGGCTCCTCCAGGAGTTCTCCTTCGAGATGCCCCAGGACGTCGAGGCCGATCTCCAGGGAGAGGCTGCCGTCTCCCTGATCCCTAAACCCTACAAGATTGTGGCCAAGAAGCGCCACATCATCCAGCCCGAGACCATATGAAAGAACAACTCTGCAGCTGCTAGAAAGGCCACATCCTCCAACCTGAGACCATATGAAAGAACAACTCTACAGCTGCCAGAAAGGCCACATCCTCCAACCTGAGACCATATGAAAGAACAACTCTGCAGCTGCCAGAAAGGCCACATCCTCCAACCTGAGACCATATGAAAGAACAACTCTGCAGCTGCCAGAAAGGCCACATCCTCCAACCTGAGACCATATGAAAGAACAACTCTGCAGCTGCCTGAAAGGGCTTAACTTGCAGCCTGAGATCACCTTAAAACAGCCTGGTGGATTGCAAAGTTAGGACTGGGTCTGCTAAAAAAAACTCTGGGGACAAATAACCTTACAACCAGGATCGGGACTCAAGACACAATGGAAAGATATCCAAGAACTGTTCAAGAACGTTTTCAGTTCTGAAGGTAGATGACTTGGAACTGATTAAACAGTGACTTTGATTTTTTAAACCCTCAGACCGCTTAAATATTGAAAAAGCAGGGAAAGAATTTTCTTAAGATGATGTGTCACAAGTTGCAAAAATGAATTGCATCTTGGTAACGGCCTCTCAATAATACCACAATTAACAAGAGAGAAAATTACAAATTAAAGCACAAATATTCTATGCATTCACAGATCTACACCTTGTTATTACAGCAGACATACTGAAATATAAGCAATGAACAGATGTATGAAATTAGGGCAAAAGCATATTTTGAACTTTTACAATATGAATTCAATAATAGGATTAAATTACAACAAAAAAATATTAAGATAATTCCCGGAACGCTGAAGATCTTTCAGTATGAGTTAACAAAAACAAACAACAATTAGTAGAAACATTAATTGTGTATTTTGAATCTACTCTTATATGATTATCATCATTATGGAATATGAATGTCTTTTTTTTCTGCATTATAAAGAAAATGTGAATGTATTCTATCAATTTGCAGCAAAGATTACTGTTATTACTCTATTTTGTAAATACATCTGAAATGAGCAACTTATTTTTGTACAAAACATACCTTTAAAGGAAGATCCACATGCAAGATTTCAAGCAGGGCTCGGAACACAATTTTATGCAATTTGTATTCAGTTTTAATGGGGAAGAACATATATAAAAGGCTAAAGTTTGTACCTAAAGCGCTTGTGGGTGTATTCAGAACACTCTGAAAAAAAATATTTGTAAAGTGATAAAAGGGGTGATGGATGTTTTCTTCTGCTCCTGTTTATTTTTGAAGTATATATTAATATGTTTGAAATATTTTATCAGTACTCTTGGGATATTACAGTAAGTAAAGTATGTACATGTATGTTTGAAATTGGTTAAACTTAATATGTATTCTTACAAAAATGTATTCATTCTCGTGTTCATTTTAGCAGCAAAGTGTGGTGAGAATTTCTCGAAAATTGCAGGCATACGAACACTTCCATTTTATTGTATTCAATCTGCATTGTTCACAAGACGTGAATTCCTTGATTATTTGAATCGAAAGCATTTACTTCTGTTTGATTTTAATTATTCATGCATTCTTTGTCTCTATAAATGTTTTCTACTGCCAGCTAGGGGCGAAGGTAAACAAAAATATGCATATCTATATATAGTGACCATGTAAATTAAAAAATACAAATTATGTAATTTTATCTTATGACTTGTATATATTGAGGTGTATTTAATCCATTGTACAAAAAAAAGTCTGCCTTGAATATTAATGTACAAAGTTTACATTTTTCTCCTCAAGAGCTGAATACATCAATGTATTCTGCCATCTTTACTGCCTTGACACAAGACTGTATAATTTCATCTAAGTTTTAAACTCTCTCTCTCACCTCTTTCTCTCTACCTTTCTCTTTTATTCGATTGTATTTAGTCTCTTAATGAGATATTTCTGCTTTAAATTCATCTTCCATTTTCTCAGTCCACTATTCTCAAGAGTATTTATAACTACACTTGTATTCAGTCATGAACAGTAAAATATAATGTTGTAACTCAAGGGTGAAGGCTGTCGTCTCTAAGATGATGGAATAAGCTAAAGCTTCGGGTGTTATTGTCAATTAGCTTGATGCAAGTGGTGGTGAAATTAAAATCAATGGGAGAAAAACAAACAAACAACTTGCTGTATACTTTGTTTACACTTTCACTGTACATGTAAGTGTACAAATTGTTTCTAAATTGATGTGTGCAGGAAAAATGGGCAGGAAACAATGAATTCTAAGATTTGATAGGATGATGTGATCATGAAGATGATAATAATGATGATCATTATGATCATGATGAAGACGAGGTAATACATATAATTATAATAATCATTGAATGATAATGAAGGTGATGATTGTGGTGGTGGTGATGACGATGATGGCAGTGGTGGTGATGATAATATTGGTGGTGGTTGGGGTAGTCATGATAATGATGATGATGGTAGTGGTGGCGGTGGTGATTATAGTGATGATGATGGTGGTGGTGGTGAATTGGTGATGATGATGATGATGGTGGTGGTGGTGGTGAATTGGTGATGATGGTGATGATGATGATGATGATGATGGTGGTGGTGGTGAATTGGTGATGATGATGATGATGGTGGTGGTGGTGGTGAATTGGTGATGTGATGATGATGATGATGATGATGATGATGATGATGATGGTGGTGGTGGTGAATTGGTGATGATGGTGGTGGTGGTGAATTGGTGATGATGGTGGTGGTGGTGAATTGGTGATGATGGTGATGATGATGATAGTAAGGATGATGATAATGAGGATGATGATAATGAGGATGATGATAATGAGGATGATGATAATGAGGATGATGATAATGAGGATGATGATAATGAGGATAATGATAATGAGGATGAGGATGAGGATGATGATGGTAGTGGTGGTGGTCTAGGAAGTGATGAAGAAGATGATAATAATGAAGATGGTGGTGATGATGATGATCCATAATGATGATAATGATATTAATGGCAGTGATGATAGTGATGGTGATGATGATGATGGTAGTGTGATGGTGGTGATGAAGAAGATGATAATGATGAAGATGGTGACCATCATCATGAAGATGATGGTGGTCATGGTCTTCGTCGTAATGATGGTGATGATGATACTGATGACTGTGGTGGAGGTGGTGATGTTGGTAGTATTGGTGGTGGTTATGATGAAGATGATGGTGGTGGTGGTGATAGTGATGATGATGATGATGATATTGGCGGTGATGATGATGATGAGGATAATGATGACGTTGGTGGAGATGAGGAGGAGGAATAAAATTATTAAGATAAAGACGTTAGTGGTATGAGAAATGGTGCTGCCACAATGCTGATAACAGTAACTAGGTAAGAAAGTCAATAATACAAATAATTTTGGTAGGCAGTAAAAAAATATATATTAAAAAGTCACTATAAAAATACTAAGAGACATTTGAGATATGCAGGGCAGATTGAATACATGTATACATAAACAGGTGCAAATACCATTAATTACAAAAGAAATATGTTCCAGTGCTACAAAGATAAATAGAAGAAGAAAAAATAAGACATTCTGCTAATTACTTGTTTCAAAACAGATGAAACGACCATGCCCTCCTGTCTTGCCTGAATTGCACATTTACAGTCACAAGGTGGCGCTATTGCAAAAGACTCCATGTACAGATTCATAACATTGTGGATAGCCATGCCTCTAAGATTCATTGAAGGAATGCATGCACTCAGGAGTTTAAAATCCCTACCACCATCAATCAGTAATATATCATCACAACCATCAAGAAAATATATTTCAGTTTTTGTATGCCAACATTGACTTTGATTTAAAAAAAATAATGGACTTTTGATAGCAGCATCCAACCTATTATCTGTTCAGCATCAAACAAATATCATGAACAAAAGGTATCTGAGAAATCAATTCTTTTCAAACGTACAAAATATGTCAAACTAGCAGCTACTGCATACATGCACAAGTATTAATACCATTTCCCCCCCTAAAATTTGTCTTACGATAGAGAAGGCCTAGATCTATGCAAGTCAAATTGGCCACACTGTGATGTATCTTGCGAGCTCCTCTCCAAATTGCTCTGTACGGAAAATTTAATAAACTTTCATTTTCTTACTTATTGATGGCGGGGCAGATTGTTTCATACAGGGCTTGTAAAGAAACATATTTGCAATCATTTTGTTTAGGAAACATGTTCAATTTAATTTCTTTTAGCAAAAATATAAATTCATGATTTTTTTGAATTTTTGATTTTTAGTTCACAGCAAATTGGAGAGTACCTCGCAAGACGCATCACAGAGTTGCAATATGTGTTTGATTGATCGCACATTTAAAAATTCACAACTTCCTTATTTTTAACCCATTGCTTACTGGAACCTGGTGGTCCCTGTGTTAAGTCTATGGGAATTAGACAATTCAGTAGTCAACGGGTTAATCAAATTTTACTCAAATTTTCACTGACCTGTTCCTCTCATTTTTCTGCTTCTATCAAAACCACCTTTATATCAGAGTGGACTTGCCTTGTAAGTGGCTAAAGGAATATTGCAATAGCTATAGAGGCAAAATCAAACCATGCCCTCAAAGTATGTTGATACTAGTTAATGAAATTACGATTTTTTAGTTACCTGTCTTACAAAGAGTTGATATTAATCACAATTTATTTGCAATTGATACCAATCATAATTATGTACATAAGAGATAGGAGACTGCAAACTTGCGATTGATTAGAGGACTTGCGATTGATTTAAATTGATTCGCAACTCTTTGTAAGACAGGGCTTAGGCATAACATCAAATATTGAAAATCTAGGATAGGGTCTAAAATTGATTGAAAACAAGTCCTGAAATTAATTGCAAAAAATGAATTGTTACATGTACTACATAAATAAGTTTAAATGTTACATTCCAATAAAAATCATTTTTGAAGGGGGATAATTTTTTTTTTTAAATAAAAAAATTGCCAACTGCCAAGACACAGCAGTCCAATGTAGTGAAGAATATATTTTGCAACAGCACCATCTACAGGCCTCTTTTGTCTATTCCCTACTCAAACTCGGTGCTGACTGCTCCAGTGAGAGCTGAGGAATTTATTTCCAGTTCATCGTGAATGTGCCATGGACCGGTGTTGGCCTAGTGGTAGAGACACTGCACAGCAAGCAGTAGATGGCAGGTTCAAATTTCGCTGGTTCCAAGACTTTTTCTGACCCGTTTTTAATTACAAAATCAAAATTTCATTTACTGGGTGCAAGCCAAAATTTCTTTACTAAGTCTGCTACAGACTATACCACAAATACTGCTGTACTATTCATATTTACATGTAAGATATGCAAGGAAAGTGATTATTACCAGAAAAAAACCATAAGATGCAATGCTATTTAAATGTTCACTTGAGCTTGTACATTAAAGAGAAGGTTGAGTTCTGGGAAGAGGTGAAAAATAATTTGTGAGCGTTATCATTCTTATTATGCAAGTGTGGAAGAACATCAGATAAGACATGTTCCCTGAAAAGCATGGCTCTTCAAATGCCTTCATATTCTAAATATGTCATGTACATCGTAAAACTCAGGGGAAAGGTTTTTAACGCCACATGTTCGTGTAGTCCCATATACATCTTTCTGTGTACAGTGTTTGTAATTTTACCAAGACTTGGCCAATTTCTTATCATTTGGATGATTCCAGAACCTTGCAATACACACAAATTCTTATATATGCTAGATGATCAACCTTTTCTGGTCGATTCCACACCGTTTCTTTCACAATG